TTATCTTTTAAATTATACACATACTCTGATGCAGATTATTTTAAGTGTTCTCATACCTTTAGGAAATTATTTGTTATTCATAGGTATTTTTTTAATAAAAATCACTTTATTGTAATTAAACTCACCAATAAAAACATTCTGCAGCTACATTAAGGCAACCACTCAAACACTTGCCCAGTCCCAAACTCTGTACATCTCAGTGAACTTCTATAGAAGTATTCATTTTGAAACTGTGGAGCTTCATAGTCATTCCTTTCTTCAGCTCTTTGTATTGCTTCCAGAACTCTCTGAAGGGCTGGTGTTGTGGACATGAATTCCTTCAGCCTATTTATGTCATGGAAGATTTTTAAATGGCACTTACCATAGTTATGAAAATGATATGTATAAACTTTCTACCGACATTAGTTTTGATGCCACCCAGAACTGTTTTCTCTATGGACCAGAAACTCTTACAACTTAGTCAAATCACTTACAATAGGAGTATTAAATCATAGTAAGATAAGCTAAGAAGAAATGGCAGACAGTGCTGTCAAAGGCTTCATTCAGAACCTCAGTGGCTAAATTTGTGGATTCCCAGGATCTTATTCACAGAAAACACAAACTAAAGAATTTTTGTAAGTTTTCATTTAATTAAATAACGGAGTTGTCTAGGAAGAGGTTAGTTTGATTTTTTTAGTACTGAATTGAGGACAAATTTGCCTGCTAATCCATAGTTAGCCATAAGAATAAAGATGCTTCAAAACATTACTGAAAAGTTTTCATATGCTTCAAGATGTTGTAATAGTGGTAGAAAATCAAAGACATGGACCAAAGAGCGTATAAATAGCCATGTAAACATCCTGAAAACAGAACACAGCATAATCAATGTCTGCATTTGTTTTTATTTTTTGAGTTGTAGATTTATGCAAGGGTATTTTGCCATCTAATAATTGACATCTCCCTTTCCCTGGCCTATTATATAGCTATAAACACACCTGGTTCTGCAACAACATAGGAATCAGTACCCCCCAAGAACATACTTGGAGAAATTCTGACTTGACTGACCTTTCATTATTTATTGTAAAAAAAAAAAAGGAATAAGATGAATATAAAGTTGGTCTACGAAACAAATGTACATTTTACTAAAAATACATCATGAAAACTATCCCCCAACTTAGTTACAATCAGAGTGGGAGATGAAGAACAAATCTTGAATAGCAAAGTAGGTTTTATGCCTTAAAATTTTTGTTCTTTCTCCTCTAAAGAAATAACACTTATTTTCCTGATCTTTCTGTATCTGTCTCTCTGTATATGTCTGGCTCTCTCTGGCTCTCTGTCTTTCTTACACATACACACACACACACACACACACACACACACACACACACACACACACACACACACACACACACACACACACACACACACACACACACACACACACACACACACACATACACATACAAAGTACATTAGTAGAATGTCATTGTCTCTATGGAGAAATGTAAATAAAAATATTTTGGCTTTCCAAATCAGGATAATTCTAGGTAAGGACCACAGTATGGAATCAATGTGCTCTCATTTGAGTCCTTTTGTTACCTTGCATTTGTTGTGACTTAATTTTTGTTGTAAGAAGACTAGTGACTTATCTGCTCATGTTAGAGTGTTATCATTATCACTAAAATCAACTGGGCTGAAGACATAGTTCAGTTGTAAAGTGTTTGTTGTGAAAGCACAAGGATCTGAGTTCAAACCTCAGAACCCACATAAAAATCCTGTCAGAACAGCATGTATCTGCAATCTCAGCACTTAGGAGGCAGAGACAGGTGGATCCCTGGGGCTCAATGGCCAGTCATCCTACCTGAATCAGCAAGTTCCAGGTCAGTTGGAGACCCTATCCCAAAATACAAAGTGGATGATGCCATGAGGTTGGCCACACACACACACACACACACACACACACA